CGCCTTGTTTATACACCCCCTCCCTCTCTCCTCCTTCTCTATCCTTTCCCCGATCCCACCTTTTTCAGGCCCCTTAAGCCTTATTTATACAGACCCTGTTTCTCTTCCGTCTCTATTCCTTCCTTGATCTCTCGTTTCCGGGTTCCTTAGCCCTTTATTCGGGTCTCTCTCCCTGTTTATCAGATAAGGAAATCAAGATGATTAATACAATTAAATTTAGTGGAAATATGCTACAAGTAGTCTAAATGTCACTTTCAAGCGTTTGTTTATCTGGAGGCTCCAAATTTTAAAGTTTGATCGTTCGAAAGTTTTGGATTATTGTTATTATTAAATGGAAAAAAAAAAGCTTTTTCAACAGGAAAGAACATGCTTTATCGCCGTGCAGAATCATAGTTTCTCTGAAATCCTCTCAGTTGTAGCTTTCCAATCTTACTGATAAGATAAACAAGAAAATTAACTCTCCTTCTCAGAGATGATCCCCCCCCCCGTCCTCCTTCCCCCGCAAACCTTCGACATGGGTAACATGATTGAAACTGGCAAGCTTTGAATCAGTAGTCTTTGACTGACCATAATATGGGTCTATGGTTACTTTATACAGCTGAAAATTGCAGATGGAAATGAACTGAAAAATGTTCTTATTTGAAAGAGATTGTTCTCGATGGGTGCCTTTTCAAAACATTTACCTCCAAAAATCATGTTTTGATAACATTTCGTCCAGTTTTATAGACAGTTTGGGTGGTGCATTTTCTCTGTGGTGTAGGACTTTGTTCGACAACTACTACATTTTACAACTTGTAAAAGTTTCCAGCTTATTCTTTCAATATTCGTTATTTCTTTTGAATTTCAGTTGTACCGAAAGATGCATCTGGGAAATCTAAAATCAACCATGAGCTTTCTTTAGGTAAGAGCAAGTAAAAAAAAATAAAAAGTTTTCATTCCAGGCTGATACCTTGTCTAAACAGAAAAATTGAACTATAAAAAGCTGATTGGGATTTTGGAAATAAAAGTGAAAAAAAGCGGGATCTGCATATTACAAGGCTTGGAAAAGGTCTATATTCGTTTTTCCCGAACCTAATTCGCCTGACGTCGAGTCACTCGGGCTAACTGAAGTAAATTTTTCTGCTGTCGGTATCAGAGCAATTACACAGTGGAAAAAAAGACGCAAATGACTTTACAATGATCCAGTAAAGCCGAGTCAATTACGAGGAAGCTTTACTTTTAAGAGATCACTGAGTTGATATTCCAAACCTTAAGCTGGAGAAAGGGGTTACCTCTCCTCTCAAAAGACTCAAAACTTTTTTTTCCCTTTTCCAAGACATGGAAAAGAGTCATGTTTCAACAGTTGAGGAAAGAAAAGATTTAGATGATGGCGAAACAGCAGGTACACAAACCATTGATAACTACGCGTACGATAGCTGATGATTTGCCTCGAAGATAGGTTGCAAGATTTCTGTCGAATTGTAATACCGAGGTGTTTGTGTGCATTATCCAAACTTTTATTTGAAAACCAGCATTCTTTGCGCTATGAATACCGCCACGCTGACCAAAAGTAAAGGGCTAAACATTTTACTGGTTCACTAAGCAGCCAATTGGAATCTTGAGCTCCTGGTATAAGGTTGGGAGATCGACCAAAGTCTCTTT